GGAAGGAAGGAAGGAAGGAAGGAAGGAAGGAAGGAAGGAAGGAAGGAAGGAAGGAAGGAAGGAAGGAAGGAAAGGGGTGAGTTTCCCATCTCAGCCTGTAGGCTGTGAAGGGGCTTAGTCACTAAAGTGGTCCTTTCTGGGTGAGCCCTGGCACCCCCATCCCACCCCTTACCCCCCCTGCACCCTCCTTCAGCCCTGTGCTCTGTCCACTGAGCAAGAATGAGTCTCACGGGGAGCCGAGGGTGGAAAGTGAAGCAGCAAGACTGGCCATATGCTTTGTCCCCGAGAGATGGGGCAGTGAAGGACAAGCCCTTTCTCTTTGGGCCAGGTGCGGCCTCTGGGGGCTGGGGGGGGGGAATGGGGGGGTGGGACAGGACAGCCATGGGATGGCTCTTGGGTCCTCACTACACAGCAGGAGCCACGGCCTGTGTCACATGTCGATGAGCCAGTGAATATTGGAAAAGCATTGGAGGGAGGCAAGGCCAGCTGCCTCTTCGTCAGCTAGCCCCAGGGAGCCCTGGGAGAGGGAGGGCAGACTGTCAGTGGCCAAGGACACCACTCAATGCCATTTGGGGCTGGTACGGCTGGGGAAAGGAGCAGGTATGGGCCTGAAGTCCTCCTAAAAATCCTATACCTCGAAGTACTGCTAGCACAGAGGATCCTGCCCAGCCATGACACCATTGGCCAACTCACAAGCCTACAAACCAGAGCATGGGTGCACACACAAGCACATGCGCGTGCACACACGCGCGCACACACACACACACACACTCACACACACGAGACCTCGATCATCAGCACACTCTACACCAACACTGACACCGGAGAGTCAGGAGATGAGAATGAGCAGCTAACCAGCTCATGAAAGACCACCTGCAGAACACACCACAGCCTTACTCCTCCTCACCTCCAGCTGAGCTTGACTTCCAGGCAGGGCCAAGCATCAACCTAGCTGCTCAGGGCTCCCGCAAAGAGCTGGACTGGCCAGACGCTGGTGGCTCACGCCTGTCATCCTAGCTACTCAGGAGGCTGAGATCTGAGGATTGCGGATCAGAGCCAACTCCGGGCAGGAAAAAGTCTGTGAGTCTCTCCCTTATCTCCAATGAACTACCAGAAAACCAAAAGTGGCACTGTGGCTCAAGTGGTAGAATGCTAGCCTTGAGCTGAAGAGCTGAGGGACAGCGCCCAGGCCCAGAGTTCAAGCCCTATGACCAGAGAGGGAGAAAAAAAAAAAAAAAAAGCTGGACTGGTATGTTGGGCAAAGATTTTTTATTTTGGTCGGTCTGGGGCTTGAACTCTAGGCCTGGGCGCTGTCCCTCAGCTCTTCAGCTCAAGGCGAGTGCTCTATCACTTGAGCCACAGTACCACTTCTGATTTTCTGGTGGTTCATTGGAGATCAGAGTCTCACAGACTTTCCTGCCCGGGCTGGCTTTGAACTGTGACCCTCAGATCTCAGCCTCCTGAGTAGCTAGGATGACAGGCGTGAGCCACCAATGCCCGGCTCCTGTCCGTGGCCTTTTCTCTCTGGTCTCATTGGAGCAAGGGGCCTTGGGCCTCCCTGGTCATCCTTTGTGGCCCAGTCCTACACATTCCTTCATGCCAAGCTGAACAGCCAGGCGGCCAGGGAGTCGGCAAGCAGCAGTTGCTGCTGCGTCCTACCCGAGGTGGTGGGATCTCCTCACGGGGGGAAGTGGTGCATGCTCATTTTTAATTACATAGATGCTGATGAGCGCGCCCGCCTGCACACAGCAGTCCTGGCGAGTGGGGGGTGGCTCAGACCTCCGAGGCCCCTTAGGCAGCCGGCCTGCATGGCATGTGCAAAGTGTTTGGGGAGGGGCAGGGGGGACGGTGAGGAGGCCCAGCAGGCAA